CGCTTTTCTCAGTGCGCGGAATCATTTGTACAAAAATACAAAATTCCCGGAGGTATGTAGTTAAGGACACAAAATCTCACTCGTAAAAAATGGTTTTCTAAGAAAAAAGTAATGCTCCTAATTTATTTGTATTTATTTGTTTTGCAGTTATTGGATGCATTGACGGAACACATTTTGGGCTACAAAAACCAACTCACAACGAGCACATGTTTTTCAACTGTAATGGATATCACAGCATCAATTCTATGATAGTACGTAGATTGCACTATATTCAAAAACTAAGTAATTTTAATAAAATTTTCTTTGCAGATTTGTGACCATGAATACAGGATATTGGCCATTGATTCAAAATATGGTGGAGCCGCTCATGACTCTTTTGTGTGGAAGCATTCAGCACAAAGGCAATTTTTGGAAGAGCAATATAATCTTAACAATTTGAAGAACGCTTGGCTTTTAGGTAATTAATTTTAATGCATTAAAATATGTTAGTAATATTTTAATGCAATTAAATACATATACATATGTCCAATTCAATAGGAGATTCGGGATATCTTTTAGAGCCATGGTGTTTAACGCCTTACAGAAATCCTGAAGAAGACTCAAATCGAGCGCGATTCAATGAGGTTCATGCAAAAGCTAGGTGTATTGTTGAAAGAACAATAGGAATTCTTAAAGGTCGCTTGAAAATCCTCAGCAATGACAAGAGAAGTCGTTATAGGCCAGAAAAAATAGCGAAGTTCGGCAGTGTGTGTGCAGCGTTGCATAACGTATGCATACAATTTAAAGATCCGTCATATTGCAGATATAACGTATGCGAAAATATTGAAACAGAAGTGGATATTGGAAACGAAACTCATTTAACGAAAATCGGCCAAAAAATAAGAGATCAAATAATGCTCTCGTTATCGAATACTATTTAGTTATAACACTATACACAAGAGTTCATTCAATACTTTATTTATTTCTAAAGAAAGGAAAATAAAATTAATTTATAAGCATTTTTTAATTCATTCTTTAATTGAAATCACAGTTTAACTGTCAAAATCAAAAAATTAATCATATTCTTAGATTGAAATGCACTTAAAATTATAATTCAAATTCACAGTCGTAAAGATTAAAAAAAAATATTTGCGTTTTAAAAGTATCAATTAAGGTAACGATATGTAAAAATATATTGAACTATTTTGAATATGAATTTTGTAAAGCAGCCAACTCAAGGCGTTTGATTTTGAGTTCCAACTCCTTGACGGCCATGTTAGCCTTGTGAGCCTTCCTTTAATGCTACCGATCTTTCTTTAAGCGTCTGTCAACTTACTGCTTATGTTGCTTTGAGATTCTTCAGACGCATTAAGGT